CCAAGGGCGGGAGCCAGCTGTGAGCTCCGCCCAGGCAGAGAGATAGGGGGAGAAAGAGAAAAAAAACACAAGTGTAGCCTTGTGAGGCCGGCTGGGCAGGCACGGGGACCATGACAGCTTCTTAATTCAGATAAAACTGAGGTCATTGTACTCGGCCCTGAAAATCTTAGAAATATGGTATCTAACCAGATTCTTACTCTGGATTAGGGCTGCTCAATTAATCGAATTTTAATCACGATTACGATCTGGGCTTTCAACGATCATTAAAAATGACTGAGCCGATTATTAGCCCCTCCCTCGTTTATCCGCGACACCTTAAAGGCTGGTCCGTGAAAATATTGTCGGGCATAAACTGGTCCGTGGCGCAAAAAAGGTTGGAGACCGCTGATTAAGAGGACCCGAGGGAAGCTCGGAAAGCTAAGCAGAAGTTATTTGGAGAGGAGAGTGACTGCTGTTGGTTGAAAAGAGAGGTAAAAAAACTTCAGTGGTGTTGCACACTATTTTATATTATTTTTTAAAGTCATTGTTAACCCTTTAAAGCCGGTCAGAGCAGCACGCTCCGTGTTGTGTAACTATTTTTAAATCCCTGTAGAACCTGAACCGTGTAAGCTAGCGCAATAATTTGTTTTGCATATGAAACCGGAGGAGTTGTACTTACATCTGATGCCATCAGCTTGTCCTCGGTCAGGGTTTCCTTTCACATAAAGCTTTGCAAATATTGCATAAAAAGCGCTTGCAGGAACAAAAACATAATCTCCAGAAACACGCTTTGCCGATCCGATCAGCTGTTCGTAACACTTCCCACAGTGAAACAGACGTCAGCGCGAACTGTCGCATGTCCGCCATTTCCTGGCCGAAACCGGAAGTGACGTCATTTTCGCTGAAATGTAGTTTTTTTTTTTACTTGTAGGCCTTAAAAGCCTATACTGGTCATGTTTGACTTTTCTGAATAGTTGCTGGGATGCTTAGAACTCGAATTGCACTGCTGGAAATAGTTTATTTTGATGCTGTTTTCTTTGCAAATTTGCATCATAGGATTGTTTTTTTTGTTTTTCCTGCAGTGTATAAAAATTGGTGTATCTCCAAAATAAAACTATGAAGACACTCAAAATAAATTTCCTGTTGTTGTAAACTATTTTTTGCAACTTTTTTGTATTTAAAGTTTTGAGGGATAAACCTCTTAAATTTCTCCAAGTAGAAATATATGTAAAAAAACAAACACTATTTTCAATTTTTTTGTAGTTTATTGCACTTTTTTGCAATTAATGTAGTTACTATGGACTTAATGCATACATATTATTAAAATATGGGCTATAACAGTTGTATAGCAACTTGAAATACTCCAACAAATGGCACTACAACATGTAAAAAAATAATATAAGCTCTGGCGGACTTGGTTCTATAGTAGGTCTTAAAGGGTTAAATAAATATCGTCAAATAATCACGATCTCAATTTCAGTGAAAATAATCGTGATTATCATTTTTGCCATAATCGAGCAGCCCTACTCTGGATGGCATTACCTTGGCCTCCAGTAATGCTGTGAGGAACCTTGGAGTCATTTTTGACCAGGATATGTCCTTCAACGCACATATTAAACAAATATGTAAGACTGCTTTCTTCCATTTGCGCAACATCTCTAAAGTTAGAAATATCCTGTCTCAGAGTGACGCTGAAAAACTAGTTCATGCATTTATTACTTCCAGGCTGGACTACTGTAATTCATTATTATCAGGATGTCCAAAAACCTCGATGAAAAGCCTTCAGCTAATCCAAAATGCTGCAGCAAGAGTCCTGACAGGGACTAGAAAGAGAGAGCATATTTCTCCTGTTTTGGCTTCCCTTCATTGGCTTCCTGTTAAATCCAGAATTGAATTCAAAATCCTGCTCCTCACATACAAGGTCTTAAATAATCAGGCCCCATCTTATCTTAATGACCTTGTAGTACCATATCACCCTATTAGAGCACTTTGCTCTCGCTCTGCAGGCCTACTTGTTGTTCCTAGAGTATTTAAAAGTAAAATGGGAGGGAGAGCCTTCAGTTTTCAGGCCCCTCTTCTGTGGAACCAGCTTCCAGTTTGGATTCGGGAGACAGACACTATCCCTACTTTCAAGATTAGGCTTAAAACTTTCCTTTTTGCTAAAGCATATAGTTAGGGCTGGACCAGGTGACCCTGAATCCTCCCTTAGTTATGCTCCAATAGACGTAGGCTGCCGGGGATTCCCATGATGCATTGAGTTTTTCCTTTCCAGTTACCTTTCTCACTGACTATGTATTAACCCTTTAGAGCCGATCGGAGCGGGAACGCTCTGTTATGCGTAACTATTTTTAAATCCCAGTAGCACTGCAACCACGTAAGCTAGCGCAAAAATTTTTTTTGCATATGAAACCGGAGGAGTTGTACTTACATCTTATGCCATCAGCTTGTCCTAGGTCACGGTTTCCTTCCACATAAAGCTTTGCAAAAACTGCATAAAAAGTGCTTGCAGGAACAAAAACATAATATTCCAGAAACAGGCTTTACCGATCCGATCAGCTGTTCATAACACTTCCTACGTTGGAATAGACGTCAGCGCGAACTTTTGCATTTCCGCCATTACCTGCCCGAAACCGGAAGTGACGTCATTTTCGCGGAAATGTAGTCTTTTTTGTGATCAGGGCCTCAGGGCCTATACTGCTCTTTTTAAAAGTTATCTTTGACTTTATGACTTTCTGTGTCGTTTCTGGGAAGCTTAGGACTCATATTGCACTGCTGGAAATAGTTTATTTTGATGCATATGCTGCTTTTTTGCAAATTTGCAGTATAATATTTATTTTTGTTTTTCCTGCAGTGTATAAAAATTGGTGTATTTCAAAAATAAAACTATGAAGACACTCAAAATAAATTTCCTGTGGTGGGAAACTATTTTGTGCAACTTTTTTGTATTTACAGTTTTGAGGGATAAGCCTCTTAAATTTCTCTAACTACAAATATATGTTAAAAAATCAAAAACGATTTTAAATTTTTTTGTAGTTTATTGCACTTTTTTGCAATTTATGTAATTACTATGCACTTAATGAATACATATTATTAAAATCTGGGCTATAATGGTTGTATTGATGTATAGCAACTTGAAATGCTCCCAAAAATGGCTCCACAGCATGTAGAAATATAATATAAGCTCTGGCGGACTTGGTTCTATGGTAGGTCTTAAAGGGTTAATAGACCTCTCTGCATTGAATCATATCTGTTATTAACCTCTGTCTCTCTTCCACAGCATGTCTTTTATCCTGTCTTTCTTCTCTCACCCCAACCGGTCACAGCAGATGGCCGCCGGACGTTTCTTCCTGTTAAAAGGGAGTTTTTCCTTCCCACTGTCGCCAAAGTGCTTGCTCATAGGGTGTCATATGATTGTTGGGTTTTTCTCTGTATCTATGAAGAGCCTTGAGGCGACCTTTGTTGTGATTTGGTGCTATATAAATAAAATTGAATTGAATTGAATAAATTATACTGGAATTGGGCAATAAAGTCCTTGCTGTCCTCTTTGGGTCTGGCAGATGTTTGTAACTTCTCTCTTGTCATTTTCAGGCCACAGTCATTGAACCAAAGTTATATTTCTATCCGGGCCCATGACTTCAACCATGGGCATTATGGTTGTCATCATTACATTTTTTTCCTGATTTGGTGATATAGGGAGAGAGAGATCATGCAATGCACCACTTTCTGGTGTGAGCTGGGCAACTTTGTTGATGATGACACTCAATTGATATCTTTTTTTGTGCCTTGCCTATGCACAGTTTTTCTTTCTTTGCATTTTAATTCATTCATCTTTAACTTGTATTCACTTTCTCATTTTCCAGTGATTTTGAGCGAAGACCCTCTTTTGGGAATTCATGTTCATTTATGGACTTAAATAATAACTGCAAAATTTCCCTAAACATGGGTTTTTACTGATTATAGAAATAACTGTTGTAACACAGTAATTATGTAGCTTTTATCGCAAGAATATATATTGTTGCAGACCTGCCTGTCTACCACAACAACAGTGTGCTAGACACTGTGCAACAAACAATTTCACTGATAGCTATCAGTGATCATTGATAGATGTCAATACTGAGCATTACTGATTAAGACTAAGATTGTGGCTACTCCTCTTCTAATGAGGTTTATGTTCCCTCCTGAGATTTACACAAAGTTCTAGAGGCACACTCAGAGCTACCTTTTGCACCTGTAGAGTATATTGAGTAAAGTATCCTATTGCTAACTTTGGCATCAGCCAAAAGGGTCAGTGAGGTACTGCCTGCTATTTTCCCAATCAGATGGTTGGTGGTTTGATCCCTGGCAACTCCAGCCTGCATGCCAAAAATCTTTGGGCAAGATAGTAACCCCAAGTTGATCTCTGATACATCCATTGGAGTATGATTTGTGTGAGTGCTAGATAGAACACACCTACATATAGAAAAGGTATTTGTATGAATGAGAGTTGTAAGTGGTTTGAGTGCTCAGGTAGAGTAGAAAAGCACTATGTAAGAACCAGTCCATTCCATTTATTAGCTTTTCTCTACTTGCCATTTGCAGATGAGAGCCAGAACCACTTTAATTCACTATGCCTTATCGATACATTAAGCAATTATCTAGACAGGACTGAGGGGTTTAGGAAAAGCAACCAAATCTTTGTAGCTTTAACTCCTTCTTTAAAGGTAAGTCTATGTCTCGCCAGGGGTTGTCCGACTGGGTGGTAGAGGTCCAGTTTTCCAACACGGTGGACCACAGCCTTTTGTGCAGCTGTGTGCACATTCCATCAGATGAATGACTGCCTCATGGGACCTTTTTAGGAATGTTTATGTAGAGGACACCTGTCAGCAAGTCCTTGAAGTGACTGGTCATGCCAGAGGTTGCTTACCATAGTGGGATACTGAACTCACTTTTCAAAGAACCCCGGTTACGCAAGTAAGCAAACATTTTCTTTGTGCAAAGTAAAATTAAGAAAACATCTGAGTTCATTTTTATTTTCTCTACAGGATTGTTTGGATGACAGTCGTCGCATCCCCCCATCTCCAGTTGTCCATGTTCGAGGACTTTGCGATGCTGTGGTGGAAGGGGACCTAGTGGAGGCACTTGACAAGTTTGGCAACATCTGGTAGTCCTGGTTTAACTCTAAATACTGTTGAGGCCATTTAAAAAATATTAACACACTTTCATTTAGCTTGGAATTGCATTGCACATTGACTTTGGTATCATGGACTTTTTTTAGTGCACACCTTGCAATGTACAGGCATGACATGATTTTGAGCTTGTGCTAGAAAGCTTGTTTAGCAAGCTGCAACCCTAAACTGTATGAAACAAATGCCTTCTTCCTAGTGTTAAATGACTAGAAAGACCCATTAAAAATTGGAAACATCCCTGACTAAAACTGACGTGCAAAGTTATCACTGTCAAATGGTGGGATATATTAGGTACCAAATAAACAGTAAATTCCTAAAGTTCATGACAAAAAAATGGTCAAACATCTGAGCAACTTTGACAAGTGGAAGGAGGCAGCCAGTGAATCAGTTTCTTTATATTTACCTGGGAATGAGTGAAGTAGGATATACTAGCTAATGCACTGTTATTAACCTTGGGTCTTGACATTTGGGCAGTTTTTCTTTTGGCAAGAAACAAACATCAAAATGTTGCTGTAGACTATGTGCACACATACAATTGGGATGTGTAGCAATGACACCCTGTGGCGGGGAAGTTAATTACAGTCACATGCCTGGCTGCTCTTTCATCTACAGGTGCGCAGCACCAAATGTGACTAGGGATTCCAATGCTTACTATGCACTGAACATTTCCTCATTGCATCATGTATATGTAACATGCAGCATCCGCATGTTACTTTGCTTCTAAGATGACCACAAGGGGGCAGTATATAGCAGTGTGCAACACGCTTTGAACAAAGTCACTTTAACTGGAACTGAACAAAAGCTGAATTTGTGTGCAATGGTATTTGCCTGCAAATAGAGCTTGCATCGTTGTCTGTATATGTCATCATCATCATTCATTTGATCAACAATAAAGTCACCGAGGTATTTCACCTTTTTATGAACCCCAATATTATTTTGGGACAGTTAAACACAGAGAAATCTAGCTGTTTATCCTGCTTGGTTCTACATATCAAAATAGCACTTTTAATAGCATTGTACTTTATATCATAATGCAGACCATATTCAGTACAGATATTAAGCTCATGTAATCCAGCACTACTGGGACTAAAAACAACCAGGCCATCTGCATACATAAGATGATTTATCCATGTTTTACCTAATATACGCCCAGTGTTACAGGCTCTCAGCTACATGGAGAAATCATCAACATATAAATTAATTAAAATTGGAGACAAAATCCCACCCTGTCTGACACCATTGGGTAAACTGGACTGGGTTGTTTACCCAGTCCAGTTTATTATCTGTGCTTAGTCCAAGGTATTTATAGTCCTCCAAAATGCGTACCCCCAGTCCACAGCGATAAGGTGAAAAAAAGCTTTCTCAACCCACATGTTTGAGAGAAAACAATTTGAAACACACTAACACGCTACTAATAAGTAAAAGACAAAAAACTAAGAACAAAAGTTTAAAGAATAGAGGGAAAAAAGGTAATAACTGAAACAGGCTGCCTTCCAGTTGGCACATGTGCATGAGATTTTGTGATTTACCTTAATCACAGATAATAACGACAGAAATTACAGTATAGAATAAGTGTTCTTGATTGGATCTATATTCACTGATGTGACTGATCGCACAGTCACATCAGTTCATACCTGCTTTTGCAGCAATGGCGAAACATGCAAGGTTACAAAAGTTGATAGCTGCGTGACCCGCTGAAATGATTTCAAAGTGCAGCTTGTGCCAGTAGTCATCATTTTCGACTTGGATTTCATTAACTCTTCTGGCACACTATGGTAATTTCTTGTGAAGCACTTGTTGTTTATGTTGAAAGATGCTATAGAAATAAAAATGTGCATACTTTTACTTTACTTGCTCACCTTCTCTAACCTTCACATTTGTCTCCGCTATCGGCAGTTATGTAATGATGATGCCTTTCAAGCGTCAGGCTCTGGTGGAATTTGACAGCGTGGAGAGTGCTGAGCGCTGCGTGTCATTCGGAACCCGTGACGCTGTCTACGTCGCTGAGCAGCAGGCTTTTTTTAACTTCTCTACCAGCCAGAGAATCACCAGACCCACCAACACAGACGACCCCTCCAGTGGAAACAAAGTCCTCCTGTTGTCCATACAGAACCCTGTGTATCCCATTTCCACTGTAAGTCCTTTACCCCACCTAAGACTCTTGCCATATCTTCAACTTGTGTTAGAAAAGAAACTTTTTGCTATCTGAGCTAAAACTCTTTAACCAGGTCTCTTTTTACCCTTCAAGGACGCCTGCTCCTGCGTTAATAATGATTACAGTCATTGTACATTACTTAAAATGTTTGCCTCAGGAATACAGATACAGAGATACAAGCTTACATTGTCAGACATCTATTATTAACAAACTCTCTGTGCCTTTGCTCTGTGTATACATTCTTTATCTGTGTATACATCCTCAACAATATCTTTGTAATTTAGATTAGTGCTAATGTCTCACTGCTTATTTGTAAAATAATGTAAGCTTTTAACTTTTAGTCAAAATTAGCTCATAAATGTAAAGGTTTTAAGCGTTAAAGCCCATTTTCCATTTCTGTTTTCTTAAGTCCATTTTCTTGGTGACCAGTAGGTACGTTGCAGTTTTTACAGTGTGGTCTCTGTCTTTCTCTCAGGATGTGTTGTACACTGTGTGCAACCCAGTTGGTAACGTCCTACGTATTGTCATCTTCAAACGCAACGGCATCCAGGCCATGGTTGAATATCCTGACTGTGTGTGTGTGTGTATGTGTGTGTGTGCGCACACAATTGCATGTGTGCTTGGGGTATATCACAGATTAGCAGAGAAATGCCAACATGCGTTTTCATTTTTCTAAGCTCCAGTTCAGAGCTTAATAGACTCGTTTGGATACAAAATAATGAACACAGGATGGTAGAAGAGGATTATAGCTAACTGGATGTGTTTTGTTGATGCCAGATCAAAGTTCACTTCATTAAACCTGACAGTGCATCATCCTGAGGGCTGTGGTAGTCTTGTTTTTCTCTGCTGATCCTGATGAGTCAACCTTAACAAGCTTGTTAACATTTGAGTCAGTAAAGGATGCTCAGAAGGCCAAACTGGCTCTGAATGGAGCTGACATCTATGCTGGCTGCTGCACACTCAAGATTGAATACGCTCGGGTAAACACATGCACATACACTCACACAGTCATGCCCATGCACATGAACACACATCTAAAAAGAGGTGCTGTGCTCTGTTGCCCCTTGCAGCCCAACAGACTGAACGTCATCTGCAACAACAACACCAGCTGGGATTACACCAAACCCTTCCTCCTGCACCGAGGTAGCGTTCCCTCTTTTAATCTCTGATCAATGAAAGCACTTTAAGCATATTCTTTAAAGTTTACTTCGAGGCAGTCCGAAAGTCTTTTTCCATGGCCACTCAGAACTCCTCCCACACCTGAGTTTTTGCTTCAGCCACTGCCCGAGCCACTTCACGCTTGGACTGTCAGTACATATCAGCTACCTCTGAAGCCACACAGGCTAACCAAGCCTGATAGGACTCCTTCTTAGCCTTGTGGCTCCCTTCACCTCTGGTGTCCACCATTTGGTTTGGGGGTTAACCAACGACAGGCACCAACCACCTTGCGGCTGCAGCTCAGTGCAGCGGCTTCGGTAATGGAAGTGCTGAACATGGTCCATTCGGACTCAATGTCCGCAGTCTCTCTCGGAATGCTGGTGAAGCTCTGCCGGAGGTGTGCGTTGTAAATCTCACAGACTGGGGCCTCTGCCAGACATTCCCAGCACACCCTCACTATACGTTTAGGTGCACCAGGTCTGTCCAGCGTTCTCCCCCGCCACCTCATCCAACTCACCACCTGGTGCTGAATTTGATTAGGTTGAGGAGTTTAAGTATCTCGGGGTCTTGTTCATAAGTGAGTTGGGAGAAGAGAGCGGGAGATCGACAGACAGATTGGTGCTGCGGCTGCAGGGATGCGGACAGTGTACCGTTCCATCATGGAGAAGAGAGAGCTGAGTGTAAAAGCAAAGCTCTCAATTGACTGCTTGATCTATGTCCCTACCCTCACCTATGGTCACAAGCTGTAGGTAGTAGAGATGGCACGATACCACTTTTTTATGTCCGATACCGATATCATAAATTTGAATATCTGCCGATACCGATATGAATCCGATATAGTGTTTTTTAATCAACAAAACTGTTTTTTTAAATATCTTGCTGCATTTTGTATAAGTTCATACTCAAGTTTAAAACAACAACTACACTAAAGCTATTCTGTTATACCTGTATGCAAAAAAAAATATTTCATAGTTCAGCAATACTGATCAATCTAATAAACTTAAACCTCCCTATTCTGGTATTTTAAAGAGTACTTAGCATAAATATTAAGCAACCTAACTAATAGGGTTCCAACTCCCAGCAACAACAAAAATAAATAAATAAAAAATAGGGAACCGCCCCTCACGCTCCACCTCATGATGCTTAATCGACGTAATCAACCTTAATTTGATGCAGTGTGAAAAAAAATGCACAGAAATCAATTATTTTTCAAGAAATATTAAATAGATTCAACATCTTTCTTCAACAAAATTGCAGACTGCACAGATGGTACCTTCCCAAAGGAAAAAGTACTATAGCTTACTAGGGTATATATATTAGACTTAATAGTCACTATATACAGTAATTGACTTCTATTCATTTTACATCAAATTAAAACTTTGGGTGTCAGATAATTATTTATTAAAAGCTAGACATTTTAAATGAGAATAAAAAAGAAAAGTATGTCTTTGTGCCCCCTTTTCCCTGTTAATGCCCTATCGGCCCCCCTGGCTAAACTTTGCTAGATCTGCCCCTGCACAGTTACCAGCGTCAGCTACGTAGAAACAGATCCTCGAGTAGAAAGTAATATTAAATACATTCTAACAACAGCTGATCAAGCTTAAACGTGCTGCTGTTGTTCAGCTGCTGGTTTCCTCTTTCTGGTGCAAAGTGGGCCAAAAGCAAACTAGAGACACGACTCGCAACAGAAAAGCCGATCAGCTGATCGTTAAGCAGTTTCATGATTGAAGTAGCAGCCAGAAGAGGCAGTCGCTCCATATATCGTTTGTTAAGCTTAACGCAGGAATGCTTTACAAACATTCAGAGATGGACTTACACACTTGCTTTACTTCTCTCGGGGATAACTTTGTCAGAGATGAAATGCCGGGTTGCTAGCGAAGCTCCACATGCTATCCAGACCACCAACAGGTCCCGCATGCCACAGCCGCTCTATCACGTGATGCATACTGCTCCGACGTGCTAACGTTCTGAGGCGAGTTACGGCGTGTTGCAAGTTTTGTGAGGTGTTTTCGTGATATTTAATGGATCGGATTACATTTTTTATTTTTCTCCGATATCCGATTCAGTAATTTAGGTCAGTATCGGACCGATACCGATACGTAATATCGGATCGGTCCATCTCTAGTAGGTAGTGACCGAAAGAACAAGATCGCGGATACAAGCGGCAGAAATGGGCTTCCTCAGAAGGGTGGCTGGCCTTTCCCTTAGAGATAGGTTCAGAAGTTCTGCCAGAGGGGCTCAGAGTAGAGCCGCTGTTCCTTACATTGAAAGGAGCCAGCTGAGGTGGTTCGGGCATCTGACAAGGATGCCTCCTAGGCGCCTTCTGTGCGAGGTTTTCCGGGCATGTCCCACTGGGAGGAGGCCCCAGGGCAGACCCAGGACATGCTGGAGAGATTATATCTCTCGGCTGGCCTGGGAGTTCCACCGGACAAGCTGGAGGAAGTGGCTGTGGAGAGGGACGTCTGGGCTTCTCTGCTTAGGCTGCTGTCCCCACGATCCGGCCCGGATAAGCGGAAGAAGATGGATGGTTCACGTCAAGTAAAATTAATATGTTGACATTTTACTTATTCCTTCTAGTGAACATTATTATCTTCTTTTTACACAGCAGGAATGTGTCTTATAAAGCACAATACATTTTGTTTGCAATCTGAGTAAATATAAACAGAGTAAATTTACTCCAGTTCAGTTGGAAAACCTCAGGAGGAGCTTGGAAATGTCAATGCACTAAGATGACATTAAAAGGACAAAAGACTGATAAGGTGTGTCCCAATTAAAGGGCTGCATCCTCAAAGAACCCAGCCTATGTAAACCGTGAAGGCTGGGTCATTTGAGGATTTGGTGTATGCGATTTTTTTGGTTTCTTAAGTATCTGAGGATGAGAGCGCACAAGACCATGAAAACGTGACTGTTAATTTTAAGATTAGCTAGTAAGTAGCAGCTAATGTTCATGGGACTAGTGTCATCTTACTTTGCAAATATAATATGCATAAAGATAAAATTCTTGTATTAATAAATTAGATTTAAAATTCTCATTAGTGAAATTTAGCTCAGTTTTAAATACTGAACTTCAGCAAGGATTCAAGTTGCATTTATTTCTATTTCTATATCACTTCATATCTTCATCTCAAAGACAAGTGTATAAGGCTGTTTTGGACATGAGACAAATATTGTTCTTTTACTATATTGGCACTACTGCGTTTGTCTGAAGGCTTACTTATATTGGTAAAAAGAAAAGTCAAAATGAAGAGTAGACTGATATACTAAATATTCCTTTATTGGGTGAGGAAATCATGCCATATCTTAACCGTTTTAAGTCATATAGAATAGATGTGATGTAATGCTGTAATGCAAACACAGCAGTACTATTAGTACTAAAATACTCCATGTTTCAAATAACTAAAGAAAAGAAATATTGACATCTATTTTCAGCTACATTCTGGTGCTTATAGGTTTCTGAATATAAAACTTTTCACTGCTTTTCATCATTTTTACTTGGAGGTACATACGTTGTGCTTTAGATTCAGAGAGAGAAAAAAATCAGGGGAAACGGCTGGATACACAAAATGGTGACAGACTCAAGTGGTATGAACCACTACAAAAATAACATAAGAGCAGTAGTTTCTCCACATTTACTTTTTGTCTTATTAGGGGTATTAAATAAGTTGAGATCCCATTTGGCACACTAGCACACTGAGTCTATTTGGCTCAACAGCACCAAGAAGAGGCAGCAAAATAACCAAGTTACCATTAACATTAGTGCAATGAATCCTGAATCCTGCTTGTACCGGGACTTAAGTAATATTTAGGACTGAAAACCAGGCAGCATTCACTAATTTCGTTCCTTTAAATTCAGATAAAACTGAAGGTATATTGTACTTGGCCTTACAAGTATGTTATCTAACTAGTATGCTATCTAACCTCTAGATGGCGTTACCCTGTCCTCCAGTAACACTCTGATGAATCTTGAAAATTGTTTTTGACCAGAGGATATGTTCTTCAGTGTGCATATTAAACAAAAATGTAGGACAGTTTTCTTTCATTTGTACAATATCTCTAAAATTAGAAACATCCTTTCTCAGAGTGACACTGAAAAACTAGTTCATGTATTTATTACTTCTAGGCTGGACTACTCTAATTCATTATTATCCAACTGCGCTTAAGACTCTCTGAAAAGCCTTCAGTGGATCCAAAATGCTGCAGCAAGAGTACTGACAGGTGCCAGAAAGAGATAACATATTCTTTCTCTCATACTTCCTTCTCTTCACTGGCTCCCTCTTTGAACTGCAATCAAACTTAAAATCCTTGTCCTCACATACAAGTTCTTGAATAATCTGGCCCTATCTTATCTTAAAGACCTAATAGTACTGTATCACCCCATTTGAGCACTTTGTTTGTTTGTTACAGAGCGGGGGAAGGGGAGACAACGTCATGCCATATTGGGAGAGCATCCATCTAACGGAGGTGGTACTGTCTGTCTTCATCCCTCCCTGTCTAGCTGCCAATATGTTATCTCTTCCACTTGTTCCACTGCAATTACTGTGAGTCCACTGTACCACATAATATCCCCTGAGTATCTGTGCGTATCTTTGCAGGTACACACTGGCCCCTCTTGCCTCTACCTGCTAAAAGCCAGAACTGGAGGTACAGCGAGGAGGTGCAGGAGAGGATCTCTTACCCGCTACTCCAGAAGACCTCCCCCACATTCTCTTCCTCTTTCCTTGGCAAAAGCATTACTAGCTCTGTCACCATGGTGAGCGGTCTCCATCCTGTTAAGATGAACTGCAGCCGTATTTTCAACCTCTTCTGTCTCTACGGCAATGTCGAGAAGGTGTGTAAGGATCCTCTCTGACTTTTAGAGGTCATGTTGATATGAAAATACATATATTGTACAATAGTTCCTATAATTTTCTTTTAATAAATCTTAATCATAACTTATGTTCTACGTATGTATGATTTAGTTTATTTTTACAGTGCTCAAAAAAAGAAAACATCAGATCTCAATGGAAAAAAATAATTCTGGATAGCTATACTAAAACAAAAGGATGCCACATCATTGGATGGAAATGAAAATTAGCAGCTTACAGAATGAAAATGTGAAAAAAGATGCAGCACACTAGTCCATTTTGTAGCAACTCAAAATGGCACTCAGTAGTTTGTATGACCCCCATGTGCTTGTATACATGCCTGACAATGTTGGAGCATTCTCCTAAAGAGACAATGGATGTTGTCCTGGGGAATCTCCTCCCACGTTTGGACCAGGACATCATTGAGCTTCTGAACAGTCTGAGGTGCAACCTGGGACGTGTCAAATGGACCAAAACATAATGCCACAGAGGTGTCCTTTAGGAACTCCCTGTTTACTCTGGCCATATGAGAGCAGGCATTGTTTTGAACCAAGACCAACCTACGACCCATACTCCAGTGTAGGGTCCAACAATGGGTGAAGGATTTAATTTCAATACCTATGGATAGTCAGGGTGCCTTTGCCTAAACTGTAGAGATCAAATGCAAGTTGGGTTCCTCAGTGCCAGGCAGTGAACACAGGGCCAGTTCGAACTTAATAAAAAAAGAAAAAACAAACAAGCCAAATCTCATGGACCATCATCAATCTGTATTAACTTCTCATGTATGCCTTAACCATGCATGTATTAATTCATTCATTCATTAAAGAGGTGTTCCCCCAGATGGTGTACTGAGAAATAAGGTATGCATTCAAATTTTTTTTACAGCCACAGATTAGCTGTCTACGAAGTTCATTTACTGTATTGGTGGCACTTTATAAAAATGTCCCACTATTAAGCATTAGTACGGTATTAGAAAGTCCTTAAGTCATCATGTACATATTTCTTTACACCTCCTCAGTATGTCATTTATAAATGTACATATGTTTATCCATCTGTTACTGTTACACCATGTACTACTGTCACTGCTATACTCACTGCTCACTATGTACAGCTATCACTGCAACAGCATCATTGCTGTTTATAATCACAATCATATTTATTATCATTATCATAATAATATCTGCATTCATAAATGGTTTGCTAAGGAGGAATGGTGCTCTGTAATTGTATGAATTAGTAAGGCAGTTAAAATGGAAATACTTTAAAAAAAAAAAAAAGAGCAACTGACCTGCCATTTAAAGAAAAGCGAGTAGCTTCTATCTTAAAAGGTCTTTTGCAGAGTTGGCAAAAGTACAGACATTCTGTACTATGCAAATACTACTGTTAAAAACTACTCGAGTAAAAGTTGAAGTACTGATTTCTTACACGTCTTCAACAACACTAATTAGCCTGCAGTTTGTAGCTATCCACTTCACTGTGCTTCTCCTTCAAGCTGCATCCACTGTTTGTTTGGGTGGGTGATTTGGGCATCAATAGCATGTAATTTCAAGCCTGCGCTAATCAACATCTCATCTCTCCTGTGACCCATGGCTTTTTATATTCAGAGCAAGTGAATATATTTTAGTTTCAGTATTAATGATTTAAAAAATTGCAGTAGAGAGAGTAGGGGCAGGGTTAAGGGGATGGTGACACTCATGCAAAATAAATAAATACTGCAGTTATCGGCAGCTACCATGCTGCAAAATGGTAGCTCTTCAGCTAAAGAAAATATCTTCTGTGTTTGCAGGTGAAGTTCATGAAAAGCATTCCAGGCACAGCATTGGTAGAGATGGGTGATGAATATGCTGTGGACCGAGCTGTGACTCACCTAAATGGTATCAAAGTATTTGGCAAGAAATTCAACGTCTGGTAAGCACTAAATATGCATGCTTCAGACTTGAAGACACTTGGGGTTTGTGGTAGGGAGTCTGATGTAGTCTATCCGGTCGTTAAGTGATGACGTGACGAATCCTACTTCCGGGCCTAAAGTAGTCTGCGTTTAATATGGCTTTTGTGTTGTTAACATGTTTAATGTTTTGTATTTTCTTCTATTTAATCTCAAAAAACTCCTAAAACAGTCAGTGATCACTGTTGACCTCCCTCGGCTTTTATTACCGCTAATCATTTATTTAAGCTCAGTTTTTAAAACCTTAGGATGTAACTACAGCCCAGCCCATGCAGCAGTATATGAATGACTAACCTCGTATTGTGGATGGATTATCTCAGTTGTTCTCCTGGCTGAAGTTTGGTCCTTTTACAGCATCCTGCCATGCGTTTACATTTGTTCCTGACCACCGAGAACACTCACGTTAACTTTTATCGAGTGGAAAAAAAGTTAGCTTGTTTATATTAGGCTAACATAGCTGTGTCGCTAGCGGTCACGTAACACATCATTATATACCAGCTAGTATATCTTCTTCATTTATGTTGGAAGTGATAACAGAGCTGTACGTTTTAATTTGTTTCCAAAACCCCGCAGTCAGGACCAGTGTTGGTCAAGTTACTTGAAAAAAGTAATCAGTAACTAATTACTGATTACTCCCCAAAAAAGTAATCCCGTTACTTTACTGATTACTTATTTTCAAAAGTAATTCATTACATAGTTACTTAGTTACTTTTTAAAAACACGATTTACAACCTGAATAGGTAATAAAGCGATAGATCTTTCAGCCCAATTCTACTTTTTCTACATAATCCATCATACAAAATGTAATCAAATGGAAAAGTCCCTTTTTAAAACTTGTTTTATTAGTTTTAATCTTTTAACTTCATGCATCAAGCAAAAAAATTTTTGTGTTTAAACTCACTCTTTCAAATAGATGCAAGTAAAACACAGCAGAAAATAAATAAAGTCAAAGACTAGCGGTCCTTTTGCTCTATTTTCACCTGTATAGCAGGAGCGGGGTAGGCGGAGGTGTGCTCTGGTGCAGGTGTGCCGCAGCGGTCAGTTGAAGAATCCGTGAGTTTCTCTGTGAATTTCCCATTACGTTGTAGCGCACTCGGTGCTCACTTGGAAGTTTAGGGTTTTTTTTGCTGTAAATAGAAGTTTTCTTCCCACGCACAACGGACACTAATGTTTTTGTCACTTTTTATGGAATCAAACTTAAAGTAAGGTCAGTACTTCCACGCTTTAAACGCTGCACGCTCTTACTCTCTCCTGCACTCGATATTGTTGATCTGCACACAGCTGTTGTCACAAACGACGCACTTGCTTACGTCACTGTCATGAGACATTCTCGCAAAAAAGTCACGGTTTTAGTAACGCAGTAACGCAGCGTTCCTACGGCAAAGTAACGGTAATCTAATTACCGTTTTTGCAATAGTAATCCCTTTTTCTACTCGTTACTTGAAAAAAGTAATTGGATTACATATCCTGTAATCATCTCATGTCCTGCCCATCTCTGGTCAGGACATGCTATATTGTATTTAGATAGAAGCTAGCGAGCTAACTCCCTGCTAACTTCTAACTCCGTTAAATGTCATAAATTCCGTTTTCATGGATGCCTGGATGTTAAACTCAATTGTTACACCTGGTAGAGCAGAACGCTGATCATTTTTATTAAAGATGAAAGACTTTAGACAGTTTTTCAACTCTCAGTAATGCCACAGTGATCGTTTGATATATGGACCTGCAGCGGAGTTTAGGCCCAGACACGGCTAGTGACGTCAGACTTAACGACCGGATAACAAAATATCTTAACTGCTACCTAAAAGTACATGACGCTGACATTGGCTCTAGTGATATTCATGTCATGATCATAGGTCAAAACTGAGAAGAAACGTGCATGTTTAAATAAAGGAAAGGAACACATTTTTTTTTAAGACCTGATATCCAAGAACTCTCCAAGGACTGAAAATTCCTACAAGCTGTCACTTGTATTTTACATAAATAACAGCAGTTAGCCTCTATTTTTTTTTTATAAAATATGTTGGGCTGTTCCAGCCTTTGCAAATTTGTAGAAATACTGCATTATTGTATTTTTTCATTACTTCAGTCAGTGACTATCTGCCCAGAACTTAAAGGAGATCTATTTTATCCATTACCTGAAACAAGCCACTTGAGTTCACTTTTTTAATGTTAAGCCAACTCTCTTCTGATTGGTAAGGTATCCCCCCTCCATGAAATCATACTGTACAGAAAGTAGAAAAAGCCTTAACAAGCAGACTGACGCATAGGATTTTGGCTCACACTGATAACATGTCCTTACAATACTTTGTCTATCACACATCCCTTTATCTGACCCTGCTCAGTGTGTCCAAGCAACAGGCTGTGATTCCCAGTCAGGTCTTTGAGCTGGGTGACGGCACCTGCAGCTACCAGGACTTTAGTCTAACAAGGAACAACCGCTTCAGCAGTGCACAGAGCAGCAGGAACATCATCCAGCCACCCGCCACTGTGCTGCACTTCTACAATGCCCCACCAAACCTCAATCAACACCAGTTGCAAAAGGCAAGGCCACACCTGCATGAGACTTATTATTTCAATGGAGAAATGCTAGACTGAATGTCTACTCCAAGTGAGCTTTCTAAGTAGACAAGTATGCGCTCCACTGTGGCACGCCTTGAACTTTCTAAGTAGATCAAAGATAAGGAGTGGTATGTTGGTTGTTTGTTTGGAAGCATCTTTATTCACACATAGAAAGAAATGGGCTCAAGTTATTTTCTTTCTGCTCAGTGTACGTAACAGAATAGACAACAAATAATTACTATGGAATAAATAGATGGAATAGACTTGTTACTATATAAAATAAAATAAACAGTAAATTAAACTTTGTAAATGTTTTGATTTTACACACGGTACATCTTGACATTTTAAGGTGTCAATAAACCTAGTATACCATCATAATAACCTTGTTCAGGGAGATTTAATCTTCAAGTTACTCAGTTTTGCCTGTGGTCTTAAGATCACTACTGTAAACTTATTTTTAGCAGTGACAACCAACATTGAAAACCAACACTTTTTGTCAAGTTTTAGTTTGGTTTTATATTAACAAAAGAAAATGCAGGAATTGCTTTTAAAAATGCTTTTCTATCTTTCTTGCCAACAGCTCTGTACTGAATACAACATTTCAGCATTCTCTAAGTTCAAGGTTTTTGATGCCAAACGTAAGTTTAACCAATTAAGCAGCGATAATAACTCCTCAGGTCCAGGTATCAGGAGATATCATTCAGTGTGTACACGTGTGGTTTTTGTTGTTATAAACATTTCCGTCTTTCCCCCATCTTCCTCTTCCTCTAAGCAGCCAGCTCAAAGACTCTGTCTGGTCTGTTGGAGTTTGACAGTAAGACTGAAGCTGTGGAGGCTCTGACAGTCCTCAACCACCACCAGATCCGAATACCCAGTAAGTATTCAAATGATTCTCAGAACTGCTGACAGCAGGTTGCTGGCAGTCCCTGTGAAACCAGTTGCTAAAGACATGTTCTGATATTGCTTCAGAAAGTGAGAAAGAGGGTCCAAGACATGCAGAGGATGACTGAGTCAGACTTAAAGCAGAATGTTTATCGGCTGGTACCAATAATCAAGAAGAAACATAAATTCAAAAGGGTAAACTGAAAATTATTAACCACAAGGAAGATCACTAGAGTTACTAGGAAAACCACACTGTCAGTGTCCTGTGTCACACTCTGTTGTGACACAGGACAAGGGGAAAGAGGATGACAAGACACAGCTTATTATAGTAAAAAATAAAATAAAATATATATATATATATATATATATATATATATATATATATATATATATATATTAGGGGTGCAACGATACACAAAATTCACGGTTCGGTTCGATACTTTGGTGTCACGGTTCGATATTTTTTCGATACAAAAAAAATGTTCATGCCTTTTTAATTTGTCATTTATTAAAATTATAAATATATATTTTAACTCAAAAGTACAGTTTTTAAATTTAACCCTAACCCTTGTGCGTGTTTTTTATTTTGACAGCGAATGCGCACCTGCGGACCACTTATGTGCAGCCCTGGTTATTTAGCTCGTCATATTGCAGCCACAGAAATTCTTTTGTCCATGAAACCATAAAGCTGCACTTTCTTTTTGCCTTATAGTCTGATTTGTCATAACTTCTCCGTTTTGTGGTAAGCTTTTCTTTGGCTGTCACTTCTTCACCCCGACCTGTCTTATTTGGCTCAGCAGAACTAAAATATATATCTGTCTGTGAAGGTTCTCAGTCATCCAGGTCATCGTAGTCAAATATATATCCTGCTGCTTTTACACACGCACTCACATAAGCTCAGCGATTCTCTGCGCGATCAACCTCTCACATGTTTAAGCTTGCTGCGGGAGATTTCACTTGTCATGTTTGCATAGTAAGCTAACAATTAATAAGACGATGTCAGAGGAATTGGTGCACAAATTATCATCACTCACAGATCAGTGCTGTCGCTCTCTATACACAGTTCGCACGATTGCAAAGTGAAAGCAAAAAAACAAGCGCAAATTCAAACGCGACTTCAATATGTCACATATTGACAGTGGCTCACCGATGCCAATGACATAATTACCCAGCTACATTTCTGAAAGAATGCAAAAGCATTGACATATATTTTTCCTACAATAGCCCGACGGGCAGGGAAGAGATAGATTTTGGTAGCCCGACTGAAAAAAATCGCTAGCTCCAGGACGTCGGGCTAGCGATATTGCAAGCCCTGTATCTGATTGAGGAATCACTCATCTTTGGAAAAAATAGTTTATTACAGAGAAATGGCTCTTTCCAAAATAAAAGCTATACTATCCGCTTCTTCTGGGCTATATTCTCAGCAGCATAAGGAGAATCACGTGCTAACAGCTGTCTAAATGACTCGGCTAAAGTTAGTAGCATGCTTGTTGTTTTTGTCTTTGCACTAGGATGATGTCGGCGTAAATGTGCAGTCATATTCGTTGTGTTCCCACTAGTGCTTTCAGGTTAATCTCGTTGAAATGACCTTAACGCCACAACACGGCAAATCTCCGTTAACGAGCTACCGCCGATCGCCCCGTGCATGGGGCTAGACGGCCAACACGTTAACGAGCTAACTGCGCTAACACACTAGTTCCCACCCATGTAATTGAGCATTGCATGGCACATCCAACATACTGTTTTACTTTAGTCCATGACTCGCTTACCTTCAGGGTCATACGTCACATGAAAACCAAAATAGTTCCAAACGCCAGATCTGAATGAGGGTGGAGGAGGGTGGGGGAGGTGCCCTGCGCTCTTCCTTCTGTCTATGCTGTCTGTGTGGAGCGCTCAGTGGATCTGCGCTCGACAGTGCAGCCTAGGCGGAGTAGTCGAACGCAGATTCACTGAGCGCTCAACACAGACAGCATCGTCAGAAGGAAAGTTGATAAAATAAATTACAAATGGTGTATTGTTCGATACATATGCGTACCGAACCGAAAGCACTGTATCGAACGGTTCAATATCGATACGAATATCGTTGCACCCCTAATATATATATATATATATATATATATATATATATATATATATATATATATATATATATATATATATGCATACATATAATATAAAATAATTACTGAAATAGGATAATTACAACAATCAGAATTAATTATTTTGTCTTCAAGTTAGAAAAAATAGATAAGACAAATTAAGACTAGTTACCTAGAACGAAGGATGACGTTAACAGACAAGATGAATGGGTTTCAAGGTCCTAATCACTCTAACATAAGGTATAATGTTTTGTTCAGTTCCCCTTTCTTTCAGCATGGTCAGTGCAGAGTGCAGCCTCTCATATGAGATTGGACAAGCAACAGCTTGTGTTCACTATTATATGAGGCTTTACATAGGTTGGGTAAAAAAAATTAAGTAAAGAAATTAGAACGCCATCAAACAGATAAGCATTATTCAAACTTCAGGACAAAGTGTCTCATATGTTTGTGATGTTAAACTGAATGTCAGGAGTGGTCTTTCACAATAAAGTCAACATCTTTTCTCCAACCTGCAGATAGCTCCAGCCCTTTCACCCTGAAGCTCTGCTTCTCCACCTCCTCCCATCTGTGACCCAGAAACAAGATGGCCCGGACAAACTGGAAAAGAGTTTATTTGTTCCTTGAAACAATTCTACTTTTTCAATGGATGATTGCTGTGTGGTCAATGTAGAAAAAAAGATTTTAGCAATAAACTAAATAAGTGACACTCTTGAAAATTAGATAATCGAGCCAGACTTTTCTTTGTTAACATTTGTTAATATTTCATCTCATAGTTTCGGTGTAATTTGTTTGAATGTAAAGTGTTTGAATTAGTTAAATTCCTTACAGGGGCTTAAAATGGAGTACAATAGGAAAAATCTAATGGGAAGCAATTAGAAACATTTGTCTTAGTTCTGTGTTCAGTCCAAAGACAAATGATGATAACAACCTTGTTTTATTTGTGTAATTAAAGAGAAAATATAGAGAGCTTATATCATTATTAAAGCCCACCTGCATCAAACTTTTGCCTCAACTTAAAAATATGAAAAAAGCCTTTTAATAAACTTATATTAAATCAAAAATACAGTTTGTTCCAAAACCACTAAACCACTGCTGAACTCATTTGGTAGTTCTTTAAAGCTAAACAGCAACTTCAACTAATAAATTCATGTCTGTTTAAAAAAACAAATATCTGCTTTTACTATTACTGTGAGCGCCCTGATGTTGTATTTACTCTTCCCATCATCAAAATGTAAATAATATTTTGTAAAGAAGGTGCTGGGTGTAACTGCTGTAAAGTACTGTGTGTTATGTTCACTATAAGTAAAACATTAACCCCAGGAACATTTATGCACTTTATGGTTGTTGATGAGTACTGCTCGCACTTCCAGTTGTTGGATTATATAGCATACCTTCTTTTTCCTGGATAATGTTGTCTAATGCTGCCTTCCAAACTTTTTGAATCAAACCTTAAATACACTGCTTAAACCAAACTAATTAATTTTTGCTGTGATGTATTTGTGTTATGAAAGGACGCTGAACAGCAACAGAGTTAATAAAACTATTGATTTCTGTTAACTAACAGAAATCAACCAGCAAGATAGAATCATTAAAAATGCGTTGAACATGAATTTTTATTTTGTTTCTACGTTCCTGCATCGTTTGAAACCAAAGACACCAAAGCAGGCAGAAGATTTAAAGATTGATGAACTAAGTTTTTAAAAAACCTAACCCACAATGTAAATACATACATAATTTTTGCTACATGTCTGGATCAGGCTAACTTTACCACTTAGCCAAATGTCTGATTTTTTTGTACATGTTAAAAAATAATATAACAGCAATGAAGAACACAATCAAAACAAAACATAGTGAAAACAAGATAATCATAATAAATAACATGTTGAAAAAGGACTAGGAAGAAGCATAAGCTTATTTAATCCCACTAATATTTCTACTAATAATCAATCCCTTTTTCTCCTTGTTTATGCCCTATCCTTTCATAAATCCTTCCAATTTGTTACATGGTTTTATTATCCCAATATACTGTTAAGAGTTATGCATATTTACAAATATTTAATACATACATGCTCATATATACATATATGTATACACACATATGTTTACACACACACACACACACACACACACACACACACACACACGAATAGTGGGTGACAGCACCAGGTCCAAGCCTACATACTCCCTCTTCTTTGTGAAAAACATATTTTTGTGGCTCTTTTTAAACAGTCATACTGGGATTTTGCTTCATCTTTTTACCCAGTCTTTTCCACAGGTATACTCCACATACAAGATGCAATAACTTTTTAAAACCGTACAGATAAAGGGATGTTTTACATTTATTTTCCTCCTCAGATTGTATTTTCCCATCCCTTTTACAATATTGTCTGGAAGTAGGTTGGTTATTGCTTTAAACATAATTTTATAGAGCTGTTTTAAATCTTGTTATACTATGTATAATAACAAGAAAGGCTTTCAATTCAACTTGTGCAGTGTGAAAATGAACTAGATAAGTGAATTTTAGTATTTTGGATTTGTATTTACACTTATTTATGACAGGAGTTATTTCTTATTCTTCCCATGCTGTAAGGAACATTGAGTTAGGATTCCTATCAATCAGGCTTTAGATAGAGTCAACAGAGGCTCTGCAATTCTTTATGCCAGATTTGGTCCAACATTTACAAAATAACTGTTGAAGCTCTTGACTACATCAGCAGCATTGTCCTCTATGATGCCATTATCAATAAAATACTGAGGATAACTTTGTTGTGCAGAAATATGTTTAATAATAATATTCAATATACCCCATATTCCCTTAATATTGTGTTTGCTATTGTCCAGTATTTTCCTGTAATATTGGTCAATTTATTTTTCTATTTTTTTAATATTTTTTCTTTTTCTAATCTTTTGTCTTTTTGTTCTTTTTTTAAAATCTGTATAGAGTGTGCTTTTTTTTTTTACACGCATTTTGTAAACCCTTAGTGGTTGAACTGAATATTTTTGCTTTCTGCTGTATCATATTGTTGAACATTCTGTTGGAAGCTGCTACGCAAGTAACCCCAGCGGAAGGGGTTACACGAATAGGATGAGGGCCCGATGGAATCTTTGAAACATTCAGATTGAAGGCGCAACAACTAGTAGCTCAGTGTTTCAACATTCGGAAGAAGGAACTGCTCTCACGGCTAGAGATTGATGGGGTACAACACAAATGCTACAGCAACGAGCAGCCAGAACTACAGGTCAGGGGGGAAATTTTATCACGCCCACCAGAGATTGGGTACCAAGTCCCAAGTGCGATAGAACAATGATCGTTCCAAGGTGTACTCTCAGTGGGGAACAATATGAGAACAGCACCACTAAGGTTGGACTGGAAAAGGACTGGAAGCATATGGGAGAAGGACGCAACCCCCTAACTGGTTGAGAAGGACGCAACCCAGGATGCTTAGTGGCTAGTGGATCTAAGTGCAGACCACAACAACCTCCCTGAACAGGCTCCAGTAACCATCAAGTGGGAGATATTCTCCAGTATGAAGAGTTGGAAATCACCAGGCCAAAACATGTTTCATGCCTACTGGCTGAAGAAGCTGACTGTACTCCACGAGCAGCCAGAATAGAACCAGTCCCATCCACCCAATAACCTGCTGGAACATGGAAGCTCCTGTCAGGCATCATATCACCTAGGATGAGCATGCACATGGCTCAATACATGAGCGGGGTTACAAAAAAAATGGCAAGAATACCAGCTAAGACTGTGCACTGCTGGATGGATTACAAGAAGGCCTATGAATGCTTAGAACTGTGCAAGATCAACAGGACCCTAAGAGCCTTCATCAGAAGCGACACTAGTGTTGTGGCGAACAACACAGGCAAATGGAAACCATGAAGAGGCTGCCAGGAAAGCAGCAACCACCAAGGACCTGCAGAAGGTCAGGAAAGTCCTGAGGAGTCAGCTGAATGGTAAGAACAAGATCCAGGCTATCAGCCCCTATGCCCTGCCTGTGATCATGTACCCTGCTGGAATAATAAGCTGGCCAAAGGAGGAGATCGAAGCCACTGAAATCTAAGACGAGGAAGCTCCTTACCATGTATGGAGGGTTTCACTCCAAGTCCAGCACCCTGAGACAATATGTTAAGTGGAAGGAAGGAAGCCGGAGAGTAGTGAGTGTCAGTACCACAGTTCAGGAGGAGACAACAAACATCAACGAATACATCAGGAAAATGGCCCGAATGGACCGCATCCTCAGTGAATACCTTGGGCAGCAGGAGGAGGAGCAAGAGAATGAAGAGGAGGAACCATCATGGAAGGATAGGCCCCTGCACGGTATGTACCACTGGCAGATAGAGGAAGTGGCTGACATCCAGAAGTCCTACCAGTGGCTGGATAAAGCTGGACTAAAAGACAGCACAGAGGTACTAATCATGGCAGCACAAGAACAAGCTCTGAGCACAAGATCCATAAAAATGGCGAAAACAAGAAACAGTGGTGAACCTTTGCAGGAGTGGCCTGCCAACCAAACTTACCCCAAGAGTGCAGCGACATCTCATCCAAGAGGTCACAACAGACCCCAGAACAACATCCAAAGAACTGCAGGCCTTACTTGCTTACTTAAGGTCAGTGTTCATAACTCCACAATAAGACGAGATTGGACAAACGTGACCTGCATGGCAGTGTAAAACGTGCCATGCAGGTCACGTCGAACAGGCCCGGGCGCGGCTGACGGAGGATTTCTCTTCACCCACCTCCTTCTCCGACAGCTGCCGGCTCTAGTGCGCGCTGGCCTTGCCAACTCCCTGCTATTGGCCACGAAGGATTACCACTCCCTTGCGGAAGAGACGGATCGCATCCTCCTGGCTACCAGGAGTTTCGGCGTCCAGGCAATTGTTCAGGACTCACCAACGTTTTCCCCCGCCCCCTCACCGATGCTCCAGGGGCCCTTGCTAATTGCTTTGCTAAAAGGCAGATTACATGAAGCCCTGTTCAACAGCTGATTTGGAAGTACTGATATCTGCTGGTTATTCGATGTACCACAGCCCTGTGGCACATTCATCCCATGTGGGCTAAATACCAGTGAATATGTAAAAATAATGGTGTATCAATTGCAGAATACCCATTTGAGGCCCTGTACATTATAAACACACACACACACACACACACACACACACACACACACACACACACACACACACGCACAAATGCTTTAACAAAATCTGTTATGTTTTTGTGACACCTAAGTGTCCAGACCACTGGCTTTCATGAGCAAGAGACAGGACTTTATGTCTATACATGGTTGGTATAACAATCTGCCTAACTTTACTCCAGTCTGCCCTTTCCAAACTTGATGGAGACCACTGAGACATTAAAACATCCTGTTCTACAAAATAGGCTTGCTGTTCTTTACTGGCTTGATCAGCACTTACCACATGCTTGAAACAATTACAGATGTATTAGCCATGTGGAGCTCTTGCACAGAGCTAACACGTGCTTCTCATTGACATGGAATGATGACTTATAGGTGAGCACATCACATCATTTAAATACAAAACTACACATTCAGGAATGCTTTCTAAAGTCTTCCAGCAACACTACCTCTCGCAGGCAGTCATAATCACTGGCTTTCGACGCAAGACACCAGTTATCAAAGAGAATCCCCTTCTCTCTGGCAAACTCCACATAGGTTTGAAAGTTTCCTCTGCTGTCGAAACTTCTGCCTATAAGGGACCAATTCATAAGCTTGCAAGAAAGCTGCTTTAACACTCGGATTAGGCTTTCCTTTAAAGGAAGTGCGGCCACCACCTCTTGAGCTTTGCCAGACAGTTTGCACTGCAACAAAAGGGGCCAAATATCAATAGGCCACTGCAAAGCACTAGCAAGGCGTTCAAATGGTGCAAAGTATGAATCAACTTCAGCTTCCCTAAAAGCGAGCACTAGAGAAATACACTTACTGACATCGAATGCTATAGCAGACGTGGAGATGGAACCTGGAAAGTCAGCAGAGGCAGATAAGGCTTGTAGCTGGGACTCCAGCTCAAGCTTATACCAGCTTTTTCTGCCTCTATCTCCAGCCTTCTGCTGGCCTGGGCCTTCCCAGAAGCCTCTCCCAGAAGAGAGTGGATCATAGAGAGGAAGCTTGCACGGCATCTACCCCCACTCATGCCCTCACCATCCATACTGGAACCATCCTTATGATCCTCCTCAAGCAGCTTGGCTCAGCCCAACAGAGACCTCAGCCAGATCAGGTACTTGAATCAGGCCAGCTTCCACCAACTTATCTACTACTAGGGCTTTTAACTCACTTTTACAAACTGTTTTTGAGACCAGCAGCTTAAAGTGGTCTACAATTTGCAGCAAATCACACTTGCAGCAACTAGTGCTTAAGTGCTCCAAACAAAATGCAGCCAACATAGCGCTTAACCTCTAACGTAAAAGGCTACTTTAAAGCAAACACACTTTCACATTTCTGGAAACAGGGAATCACTTTGCGAAAGGTATCCTGGACGAGCCCCCACTTATGTTACGACCCAGATCTGCCAGGGGACATGGGACGTAACATAAACGAGAGCCTCACAAGCAATGTTCCCTCTAATTTTTCATGTGTCTGAGCGAACACACAAACTCCCTGAGCGGTCCCTTGGACCAACAGCAGTTGTGTGCACTGTGGTCACGCCAGCATCAAATCCATCCAGGTTACGTGTTTTATTAAAATAATCAAATTACAGCATTTACATTTATGTTAGACTACTTTTAATTAACTGCTTTATCCCACTTACAATGAAAATGTAAAAAAATTTTGTTCATGACCTGTGTAGTATGTTAACACTGTTGGAAGTAAAAATAACTTGAACTCTGATTTTGAAAACACAACTTTCTTTTTATTTTATAAAGCTCTGACTTGTATTATGAGTATGAGTCTGTGGTCTGGGAGAGAGTCCTGTAACTCTCTATCTGCAAAATATAGTATATAATGACCAATGTTGGGCAATTAATTATATAGTTACTTCTTCAAAAAAGTAACTGAGTTATGCAAACAACAAAGTTTTTTGCAGCTGT